CACACACACCACACCACATATACACACTGATACATACTACAACCACACAATATACATACCACACTACATACACACACTGACACATACCACACGCACACATACACAAAAACATACCGCACCACAGACACACAGACACACATGCATACACACTGACACATACCACACACACGCACACACACACGCGCACACACAAATACATACCACATCACATACACACACTGACACATACCACACACACGCACACACACACGCGCACACACAAATACATATCACACCACATACACACACTGACACACACACACATATATACAAAAAAACATACCATACCACATACACACATTGACACATACCATACACACACACACATACATATCACACCACATACACATACTGACACACACACACGCATCTCTTATGGAGGGAAGATGGGCTGAGACCTGGGCTTGGGGGGCCCAGCTGGGTGGGCTTGGACAGCAGCACTGCTGGGCAAGGAGAAGGGCAGGGAGGAGAATGGCTGTGATGAGGAGCTGAGCCGGTGGTGAGAATGGCGGAGGGCATGGGCAGCACAGAACCAGGGTGGGGTGGGCAGGAGGACAGTAGAGAGACCAGGTCACTCTAAAGCAGTGGTTCTCAAACTTCCTGCTCTCAGGACCCCTTTCCACTCTTAAAATTCTCTGAGGACTCCAAAGAGATTTTGTTTATGTGGATTCTATTCATCCATGTCTAATGTATTACACATTAAAACTGAGAATTTTTTAAATCCTCACTAATACATTTAAAAAGTAACAATAACAAAGCCATTGCATATTAACATGAAATATTTTTGTGGAGAATATGTATCTAGCTGCACCAGAACCCCCCAGAGGGATCCTCCGAGTGCTCCTGTGATGTCGGGACTTGGTCATGTAGACAGACTGCCTCACTGAGATCGTCCCCAGGTGGACATGTGTCATGAACAATATGTGGTGCATGCAAATGCTCCAAAATTCTAATTCCCACTTCAAAGCTGGGATGTCATCACTGTCAACAGTGTCAACTGTCCTTAAAGCGAAAGCTAACTGTTAAGAGAGTGAATGATCGCCATGTGCCAGCCAATCATGCTGTCAACTAAACACGGTGGCCATGGGGAGGGCTGGTGCCTGTATGCCACTCAAGTCATTGAAGTGCTTTCCCTCCAAAACCTTCCAACTGTGGTTTGAGGCAGATGTGCTTCAGGCATCCTCCCCACCTTGTCACACAGAATGTTAAGAGGCATGGGCTCACAGTCAAGATGTAATAAATCAGCCCTAGCCGATTTGGCTCAGTGGATAGAGCGTCGGCCTCCAGACCGAAGGGTCCAAGATTCAATTCTGGTCAAGGGCAAATGCCTGGGTTGTAGGCTCAGTCCAATGTGCAGGAGGCAGCCAATCAATGATTCCCTCTCTTCATTATGTTTCTATCTTTCTCTTCCTCTCCCTTCCTCTCTGAAATCAATAAAAATATTTTTTTAAATGATGTAATAAATCAGTCATTTCTGTGGTGTCAGCAAGTGCAATTCTAAGTGAAACCAGCATTCTATTGTGCATGTGTTGCATAGGTGAAGAAATGTCACACAACTGTCACCTGACCATGTCACAACTGTCACACAAGTGTCACACAAGTCACACGACTATCACACAGACTTAGGATTACTATGAGAATCATTTCAACCCTGAAGGGTCTGAGACACTCCAGGGGACATGGGACACAATTTGAGAACCACTGGTCTAGACTGTGAGGAGGGGGGCAGGGTACATCCATGCTGAGTGTATGGAGGTGATAGTGTGTGAACCCCTGTGTGGTGCCCACTGCCCATGTGCCAGTCTAGGACACACTCCTGGACTCCCTCCTGCCTGTCCCTCAGAAGCCATAGCCAGGCCCCCAGTGCCAAGCCTCCAGAGAAGTCCCCCGCCCCAAGACCCTTAGAGATAAGGCACAGGCACTAGAAAACATCCCCTCCCAGGGGAGCAGGAAAGTGATGCTGACCCTGTGACTCACCCTGACTGTGACCCTCGGCCCTGCTGCTCACACACCAGCCACCTACTTGGTCATGGTCCATGCCATCTGCCTCATGGTTCCTTTGTCAGAGATGGCCTCAGGGGAGGGCACCTTGAGCATGCTGTAAGCCCTGGCACTCTTCTCCAGCATATTCCATGACAACCTGATGGAGTAGTTCTGCACGCAGTGGTTAGACTCAAAGTTGGTCTCGGTGCTGCTGCACGGTGTGCACCGGTCCAAGCTCTCCAACACATCTTCCAGCTCCTGGCCCTGGTCGCTGATGCTGACACTGCCCCTCGGCAATGTGGACTCCCACTTCTGGGGGCTGTCCCTCCAGACGCTGGACTTGGGGCTCTCTGAGATGGGTACCAAGTCATCATTGTAGATTGAGTCTGAGTCATGGAATGCGAAGGAGGAGTAGTGACTAACTGAGAGTTTTTGAATTTCCTTTGGAAAGCACTAAAAAAACACATCATTAGAAGGAAAAAGATTAGCATGGCAACTCCATTAAACACCTTCTTTCCCAAGGATCTGTGCGCATGACCGAGAGCGGCCTTCACAGGACTTGGGCTGACAGTGCTGAGACAGCAGTGCCCACGTGCCTTCCCTAAAACCCACAGAGGCAGCAAACGCCTTGGAGGCCCCTCACACATACCTGAGCCATACAGCATCCACTAGCCACGCATAGTCACAGCACACCGAGCAAGACCCTTCCAACACCAGGCACATGTAAGTGTGAAGATATCAGAATGAGACCATAAAGTGTCTCCTCACTGGCTACACACTGAAGTGTCAACCAAGGGTCAGTGGCACCAATTCACCTCCAATAGGAATCCCCAATTTGGAGTGGGGTGAAGAAAACTTTATTCAGAGCAAACAGCTCAATAGTGATACAGCACGGCTGTGGAAAAACCACCACTATGAAGCCTAAGCCAAGGAAATGCAGTCAGTCTTCATTCTCTAGTGCCGTGGTCGCCAACCTTTCGGACCTCACGGACCACCAGTGGTCTGCGGACCACTGGTTGGCGACCGCTGCTCTAATGGAAAGGGAAAGTGTGTTCTCCAAACCAGAGGGGAGTTGGCTTATAGAGAGACAGGAGTCCCTGCCTCTGATCCCTGACTGATCCATCTTCATGCAAATGAGGACTCCAAATCCTTGCAATCTGATTGGTCCAAAAGACACTGTCTTGATGGGTCAGAAATAAACTGCTCTGATTGGTCAGTGAAGATGACAGGGGCGGGGGAGGGGACACACAGAAGATTAATACAGCTCTGATTGGATTGGAATAGCCTCCGTCCTGTTGGTTGAAATAGGATTCCAGGAACTCCTCTGTAAGGGCTGGCTCAGATGGCAGAGACGGAGCAGAGGCAGGTAGGGGAGTGAAGGCTTCTATCTGACGTGCAGTTTGTATGCAGGACCCTGTTTGGAAATAGCTGCCAGGCTCTGATTTTGTTTGTTTGGTTGGTTTTTAGTTTGAGCCCAGTTAGCCACCAGGAGCCCTTCTTAGTAGATATCTTCTTTATCAGGGTCCATAGAAGTGATAGGTCATGGATACATTAGATTAGATGAAGCATGTTAATAAAAGTAATTCCATCTTTAACATTTCCGTGTGGCTTCTAGAAAATTTTAAAATCATACACGGGGCTCCCGCTGTAGCTCAGTGTGTTTCTGTGAGGTGACACTGTTCTTCATCTGGGCTTCAGAGGCTGCCTTCTCCAAGGACAGACCCCAGACCAGCATCAGCATTGCCAACAATGCACATTCCCGGGTCCCACCCCACACCCACTGAGGCAGAGATGCTGGGGGTGGGGCCCAGCCACCTGTGATTATTCTTTTCTGTAAATACTTGAGGTTTGGAGGCCTAGGAGTCTGTCTTGACTCGAGCCCTGCGATGCAAACCAGCTGCAACAGTGCATAAAGGTTAACATGGCCACGTTCCCACAGCGCCACCTACAAGGACAATCCTGCTCCAGGTGGCTCCACATTCACTCACGTTTGTGAGCCACTGTCCTTGGGGGCAGTGCAGGGGTCAAAAAGGAGCCTAACCCCACAGAGAGGAAAAACAGCCAGCTGGGAGACAGGGAGGCACAAACCTTCACCAACCACATGCAGCAAGCGAACCTGTAAGTCCATTCTCGGGCGTCTTCATGAGAGAACTGGGGAAACTGAACATGATGGTATCAGAGGACATTAGAAAATTCACTTGATTTTTAAAGCTGGGATAACAATGCTTGTTGTTGTGTTAAAAAGACAGAGAGAAGATGTGTCTTTAGCTGGTGGAGACACATAGGGAAGTCTTTATGGCTGAAGCCATCTGTGGGTAACCTACTCTAATGTGACACCAGCTAGGGCGTCAGGCCAGGGAGCATGGACGAGGGAAGATGAGCCACATGTCAGGGACTTTCATCTGGATGACAGATCCATAGAAGTTCATTGCACTGTGTTCTTTTGTGGTTATCTAATATTCTTCAGAATAAAAGTTTAAAAACAAAATAAGGGAGTGATTTTTACAAGAATTTAAAGAATAGAATTAAAAGGCATTATGGGCCCAATTCCTTCATCAAGAATTAATTTACTCTGAGTGTATGAGGTCGCCTCTAGGTACCAGGTCCCTGAGGATGCTCAGCCCGTCCCCACTGCTCCTTCCTCTGCCAACTCCAGACTCTCCTGTGCCCACACCCCCTGGAGTGACTGTGGGGACCAAGCAACCCTGTCTGTCTGAGAGGCTGCCACTGAAGGCGACTCGGCACGAGAACAAGAATCACCACCACCTCTGTTCATGAGATCACTTTTGACCTTGAAAGTCAGTCGTTATTGTAGTGAACAACTTCTGACCTAGAAAAACTGAGGATACACACCCATGAGACATAAACTAATGCTGCTGTAAAAACAAAGCAGAAAGGACAGCTTTGGCTTCCAAACCCTCACTTCTGGTTTTTGGCCTGCGTTCTCCTCAGTCCTGACTGCTGGTCACAGAGTGTCTGCAAACAGCCTGACCACGGTGCCCTTCAGAGCGAGCACAGAGGAACTGAGGAGGCCCAGAGGCTGAGCGTGTCTCCTGACACATCAGGGACCACAGGCAGGCCCTCCGGACAGAAGCCTAAGGCCACCTGGGTGGGAGGCCTCTGTCTCCTGCCTGCTGCACACTGGACCTCCCGGGCAGTGGCTCTGGGCTCCTCCCCACACACGCCTCTCACAACCAGGTTGGGCTGGTGGCCTCTGAGCTCCCATGCAGGACTTGAACTTGAGAAGCAGAGTTAGAGAGAGCATCTGGTCACCTGAAGAACTCTGTCTGTGGGGGACACAGGATGGGCTGAGTAAACGCCTTTTCCGGAGAAAAAGCTTGAAGAGACTGGGAGGAGACGAGGGATGAATACAGACTCGTCGGGCCACAGGGACATTTTCCAGATTAACTTCACCAGCACCACACACGAGGCCCAGGACCACAACAGGAAGAAGCCCTCAGCCCCTCCCAAGGCTTTCTTCGTGGCTGTCGGGCTCAGTCCACCTCTCATGGCTGACAATCAGGGCCCGGGGTCTGCTCCTAGGGGTGGGGACCTCCCTCTGTGGGTGTGGCCCCACTGCCCCTGCTCAGGAGATGTGGACACCAGGTCTGCCTACACCGCAGAGAACTGGCCCCTCCACTGCCACTTGTCCTTGAGTCTGGGCTGAAATGGGGGAGAAATGCCGACAAGCAGAAAGGAATCAGAGGTTCCACAACAAATTAAACACGGGCTGTCCCATGACCCATTTCTGGGCATGGGCACCCACAACTTAACTATGGGGATTTCATCGCTGTGCCACCACCACAGAGGCACCTACACAGACCTAGATGGTATGACCCACTCACACCTGGGCTGTGTGGGTGTCGCCGTCATAAACGCATCACCATTGATCAAACTGTCACCCACAAAAACCGGAAGCAGGAGCTCAAACTAGCGCATTCAGACAGCACCACCTATAAGAGGAGGACCATGAGAGGGGTCTCAGGGCCCCAGCTGCTGTGTATGTGGCTGTAAGGACACGTCCCTCAGAGTTCGGGCAGCAAGCTCTGAACACCCTAGCGAGTGTGCAGGCTCTGTCCCTGCTTCCCGGCCGCGGGCCTTATGGTCTTCTCACCCATCTGAACCTGGTCCGTGTGGGGAGGGGAAGCTGGTGGGCAGCTGGGAAGACAGAGAGGTGACGGTGGCAAATGGGAGCGGAGGGAAGGGGGTAGGTGGACGGTGGACACTGAGCCAGGCCGGTGGGGCCCATGGCTGACCTGGGGCTCGGGCACCGTCCTCTCGGCGATGTTGGGCCTGAAGGACGTGGCTGGGTAGTAGAGGAGGAAGCACATGTTGAGAGGCGTGAGGCCCTCATCCGTGCACTTGTTCACATCAGCACCGTTGTCCAGCAGCAGATTGATAATGTTAATGTGACAGTGAATCTGGAGGAAGAAGGCTGGTCTCACAAGGACAGCAGGCTCCCTCAGCCAGGGGCGAGACGGGCATCTGATGCTCACGTGGGACACAGCTTTCCCGAGTGAGGCCTCACGCCAGCCTGAACTCCGAGACAGAGACCTGAGCTCTTGCTTGGGCTGGGCAAGGGGCATCAAACATGTGACCAAGACATGTGACCAAGGCATGTGCCCTCACCCTTTCCACTTGACCCCATACGTCCCACTTCGAGTCTGGGAGGACTGCAGCTTCACCGAACGGAGAGGGAATGTCCCCCACCCACTCGAGGGTGCCATCACCAGGGACCTCAGGGGTCAGTGCCCCTGCAGGGCAACCCTGCAGCAGACACAGCATGGGAGGGAGGGATGCTCACTGCGGCTGCAGCGAGCACCGTGTAGCCCCGTGCGTCGGCCACGTCGGGACTGGCAAGGTTGTCCCTCAGGATCCCATAAATCCAGTCGTAGTTCCCTTCCTCGGCCTTCAGGATCATCTCCTTGGCAAGCCGCTCCTTGGGGCCACGGCATGCAAAGCCACTCCGATCCCCCTCCAGGATGGCGCCCATGTTCCAGCTGGAGTGCTCCTTCTTGTTCCTGGCAACACAGGAGTTTCAGTGGACCCAATGCCGCCACCGAAGGGGCCGTCCTGAGCCCTCCTTCCCACACGGCCTCTCCTCCTTCCAGGGCCCAGAACTGCCCAGCCTTCCTACTTCCCCTCCCCGTCAGCCACAGTCAGCATGGATGTGGCACAGTGGCGGGACACACTGCCTGCAGGTGAAGATGCTCAGGCTAAGCATCTGCCCTGGGTGGCAGTGGCTACAAGGAGCACACACACACAGGTCTGGCACTCAGCACCAAGCAACCACATCCCACCTCTGCCCTTTTGCGTTCCTATTTGAGTAGAGAACATGCAAGTCCCACGATCCATTTACCACACACACTGAAGCCTGTGTGCACAGTCAAGAACCTGTGGTTTTATGGTAGCTTCTGTACCCAATAGTCTTCAAAGACTGACTACGGGCTCAGCTGATATTTGCATGATGGATGAATCGATGCATCAATAGGTGAAGAAGCAAATAGATGGGTGGATGTGTTGATGGATATAAATGAATGGATGGGTGCATGGATGGATGGATGAATATGGATGGATGGATGGATGGATGGATGGATGGATGGATGGATGAATGGATGGATGAGTGGGTGGATGGATGGACAGATGGATGGATGAATGGATGGATGGATGGGTACAAGAATGGATGGATGAATATGGATGGATGGATGGATGGATGGATGGATGGATGGATGAGTGGGTAAATGAGTGGGTGGATGGATGGATGAGTGGCTGAATGGTTAGATGGATGGACAGATGGATGGATGGATGGATGGATGGGTGCATGAATGGGTGCGTAAGTAGCCGCTTGTGCTCACAAACATGCATTCTAAAACAGTTTAGTGATATCTGAAGACAAAATTTAAGAAAGGGATTAGAATATTGAAAATTTTACTTAAGAAATCAGTTTCCCTTTGGTGCTGCTAACTATGGCAGGGCTGTGGGGTGGGGGAGCCTTTGGAGACCAGCGGCTATCTTTGGAGAAGCCAGAGGCCTGGCCAGCCCCCAGCCCACTCTTGCCCTGCTCCCCCATCCTTGACTGTCTGGCCAGATCCATATTAAGACATCATGGTAATAACAGTCCCTTCTCTTTGTGTGGACCTTGTGCAGAGACTTGACCATCTAATCACAGGCCGGACCCTGTGCAGGTCCGCAGATGTGGGGCACTAGCTCTGACCTATACAGAGGAAACATGCACAAGGTCCCAGCACCAGGATGTGACTCAGCCCCATGGGATCAGGAGTTCACCCTCTTCCATGCCCTGGCTCCACTCTCACTAAGCAGACTCCCCCGGAGTCGGCCAGCAGATCCCCCACCCCCACAGCCCTCCCAGGCATGTCCCAGCCCACAAGCCCTGGCACCGGCCTTCCCTCCCACTCAGCATTGGGCTGTGCCAATCCGTTAAAAAAAGAAGCCTATTTACATCAACCTGACAAATACCCGAGGCGCCAGGGCCATCAGGGCAGCAGGAGCGGACCCCCGGACATCGCCGAATGGCAGCCCTGATTACCTGAACTTGTAAGTGTGTTTTTGGATTTTGACCATCAAAGGGGTCTCATTTTTGATGAACCACGGTTCTCCGTCCTCAACAAATGGAGGAATATCATGCAGGAAGATCCGGGAGTCCAAGTCTCTTCGGAAAGAGCGGGTAATGGGCATGTGGGTGTTGTCGGTGGAGTAGAGGTACACATCCGGGGGCAGAGTCAGGTCGTCGTTCAGCAGGAACTGCTTGTAGTTGTAGAAAAACGGGTCCCGCTCCTCCTGCAGGTCCCAGTGCATGGTCTCCTCCTCAGAGAGGCTGATTCTGGCGGGGGAGTGCGTGAGGAAGCCCTGGAACTCGGGGTAACTGCTGATGGAGACGCTGCAGGGTATTTCCGTGCACAGCTTGATCAGGTGCTCCCGGAACCACAGCCCCACTTCCTGGCTGCCGTCGGGGTAGGTCTCGATGCCCGGCCCAAACCGCTCGTCTGCTTTGTACAGCCCCTGAAAAGCAAGTCCCGCCAGGGCAGAGGGAGGACTCAGCAGGGCTGTAGACTCTGCCACCAGTTTCTTAAAATCAAAAGAAGAAATGTCTTCATTTCCTCAACAAATCTCCATTGAGGCTTCCCATGTCCCAGGTACAGGGACCTACAGCAAATGTGTGAACACAGACACCTCGGTGGAGGATGTGTGGTCAGGGGCAGACGGGTCTTTCCTCAGAAAGTGGGGACATGAGGGGTCTCAAGGTGGAGGTGTGTGTGGGATGTCAGGAGGGGTCCATTTCAGGGAACCCCCTGCAGCTCTAACACTGGGGGCCCAGCCCAGGTGCTCCAGCAGCGTGTGGGTGAGGCGCCAGGCTCCGGGTCAGACAGACCCCAGCAGGTGTGAATAAGGAGGAGGAGGAGCTGATCCTTGCTGCCCATAAATCTGGCAGAATGCAGCAATTCCTGGGCCTTTCTGGATGCTTCCACCAGGTATGGAGTCGGAACAGCCAGGAAGAACAGATGAGAAACTATGAGTGACAATACAGCCCCCAGGACAAGGGAGCCTGGCCGCACAGTTCCCTGCGGGGCACGCAGAGAAACACTCAGTTCCCAGGGACCTGATCTATCCTGCGATGGCGCTGATGGATGCCTGGAGGCTGTGGGAGGGCAGAGGAATTTTTATGAGGAAGTATCTTGTCATCAGAGCTATAATCACAAATGTAGGCTCTGCCAATCACCCGATGGTTAAATAAGGAAGGTGTATCCGCAGATGCTACTTCTTGCAGGTTTTAAATTTTCTGTTTTTGGTATGTGTTGTCAGCCAATGGTCACTGGTGCCCATTCAAGGACAACAGGAATCCCAAATTTGGGGTGCAAAGAAGAAGGACACTTTATTCAGGCTGTGATCTGCTCTGTTCCAAGCAGGCCAGGAAAACTCATTCTTTGGTGGAAAGGGGAAGTGCTTCCCAGAGGTAGAGGGGACTTGGCTTTTATAGACAGAAGTCCCTGCCCTTGGCCCCTGATTGGTCTGTCCTCTTGCAAATAAGGACTCCCAATTGCTTGCACTTTGATTGGTTCAAAAGGCACTTTCCTGATTGGACAGAATGGAGCTGCTCTGATTGGTCAGCGAAGATGTTGATGGGGATATAGCTGCACTGCTCCATTTGAATGGGGAAAGCCTCGGTCCTACTGGTTGAAATAGGATTCCAGGACTCCTCTATAAGGGCTGGCTCAGATGGCAGAGACAGTGCAGGCAGGCATTCAGTGTAGAGGCTCTCCCTGAAGTGCAGTTTGCATGAGAAGCTTCTGTGTAGAAATGGCTGCTAGGCTCTGCTTTGTTGTGTGTATTTTTAAATTTGAGCCCAGTTAGCCACCAGGAGCCCTACTTAGCCCTACTTACCATCTGCTTTCTCAGTGTCCACATTGTTTACTTTTTTTTAATTCTTATTTTTTGTTAATCCTCACCTAAGGATATTTTTTCCATTGCTTTTGCAGGGAAGGGAAGGCGGGAGGGAGGGAAAGAGAGAGAAACATTGATGTGACACATCAATTGGTTGCATCCTGTACACGCCCTGACTGGGGGCAGGGAGCGAACCTGCAACCGAGGTATGTGCCCTTGACTGGGAGTTGAACCCTACACCCTCAGGTTGACATTCTAACCACTGAGCTACCAGCCAGGGCCGCAATGTTTATTTCTGAGCAAAGAATCTTCTAGGAAATCATTCTAAAGGTCACCAGCAAACAAGGCAGGATCCGTGAGCAGGCCATGACCTCAGCACTGTCTGGAGGCCATGTTCATGCTGCTATCCCTCCCTCAAGACTGCAAGAAATGAGGGATTATGTGCTGCCCTGAGGAGAGGGGGCAGGAATATGTATGCATATTTGCTGAAATTTTGTAGGTGCAAAGATAAAACATCAGCAATGACAAGGGGGGGTTCAGAATGTTAGAGTTCAGGATGTTAGAGAAAAGCGTACTCCTCTGGGTGGACCTGTTTGCTAGATTTGACTAGGAAAATAGCAGTTTTGTACATAATTACAAAACTAAATTAAAGCAAGATTTAACAATAGACTCTTAAGCCATGAAAGCAAAATAGCACACGTGAATGTGGCTCTATATCCAGTGGTGGATTGGCCCCAGAAAGGAATCCTTCCATGGGATTTGACCCTGGTGGGACAGGCCAGGGGACAAAAGGAAGGCCAAGGAATCTTGAACTGTCTTCAGAAACCATGATGGTGGTAGTGATGCTATGTTGCTATCCTGAAACCATTACAGATATTTTATGAGACAAAGCAAATGAGAAATTTTGTTAATAGTTAGAAACTGATATTGTTAGGACCAAGAGAAATGTAGGCAGACACAGCAGCAGAGCTGTGAGTGAAAGCCCCACCCTCCTACACTGCAGCTGGAAATATTAGGAGAAATGGGGGATGTCTTTTCTCAGCAAGAAATATATTTTTGCCCTAGCCAGTTTGCTAAGTGGTTAGAGCACCAGCCCTGGGACTGAAGGGCTGCAGGTTCGATTCTGGTCAAGGGCACATACCTTGGTTGCAGGCTCAATCTCCAGCTCCAGTTGGGGCATGTGTAGGGGGCAACCAATCAATGTGTCTCTCTCAAGTCCTTTCTCTCTCTGTCTTTCCCCCTCCCTTCCACTCTAAAAATCAGTGGGGGAAAAACAGCCTTGGGTGAGGATTAACAAAGAAAAGGAAAAAAGAAAAGAAATGTACTTCTAGATCTACTACTGAAAAGGCCTAAAAATAACAACCACCAACAAGGTAGTAACGAACACCCAGACTGTGGTTCCTAAACACTGTGTCCCACTAAAGGGACCACGCTCCCTAGACAAACAGTCAATTCTGGTCCAGGGTGGGAGATGCATGAAGGAACTTGGAACTACTTGTCACCGCAGAAAGCGAGAAAATGACCCAAACCTGCAGGAACTGTGTCAAAATCGCAAGAGCTGAACCATAGAGGCTCTCCCTGACCAAAGGTGGGACAATCTGGGTATCAAATAGCATAATAACAGCAAGGGATTGAAATATATCAACTATGTTAAAATCCATGAGTTTATGAAGATACTAAAAAAATTAACCATCATTGGCCACCTGAAGGGTGTAAAGAAATGGATTTACGGTGGCCCTGTTCCCACCTGCACATGCAGCGACCCCGCCCCTCACCCACACCCGGAGCCCCATCCCCTCACCTGGAAGAGCCTTGTCTTCATGTACATAGTGCCGTAGCCTTCTCGAAAGCTGAGGTAAAACATGCCAGTGAAACTGGAGCCATCTGGCCACATGTAGGTGCCGAAGCCATGGCGGTGGTCCCGGTAAAACTGCCCATGGTAGGACTGTGGACAAAAAGCTCTGTGACAGGCATGTCTGAGAAGCTGCCCCTCACCACCCAGACCCCTACAGGACCCCTCCCGGCTGAGCCACCATGTCTGGCCAGCATGAATGGGGACCAATGGGGTTACAAACTCAAGGGGTGCCTGGACACAGGGTCCTCTTCAAGTTTGGTGGCCAACATGACAGAGCTTAGTCACCCAAATCAGGCACAGGGGGTGCCAGGCGGTTAGTCCCCCCAATGGCCATGCTCCCTCCTGCCTGGCTCAGGTGAGGGAGTGGGGGGGAGGTGTCCGAACGGCCCAGACATCCTGAGTCAGGAAGGGGGAGGCCATGATGGGGTCAGTGCCCACCCTGGGTTTAGGCAGAACCTGTCTCCCCTCAGGAGCTCTTGCCTAGGCTCAGCTCTCATCTTGTCTGGCCTCCACTCAGCTTCACAGACAGCAGGCTGGCCCAGGGAGTGGGGGGCTGCCAGCCTCCGGGTCACCATGTGGCCCTAGGGGGAGGGGTGTGGGCTCTGACTAAGAACATGGATGTGGCTTTGATTTAAAACTCCTCCATGGATGGGGGCCTCTGTCTGTGTTAGGGGTGGGGCTATCAGAGCCGGCCCTCCAATGGGACCCCGGAAGGAACAGAGAATGTGAGGTCCAATTGCCAGATTCGACTGTCATGTGTGTCAGACGGTTGCCTTCTGCACTAGAGGCGGGCTGGACAGCACTCAGTCGACTGTCCGTGCTCTGCACAAAGGGGATGCACTATTGCCTGCTTCCTGTCCCTTTTCTTTCCTCTAGCAACTGAGATGTCTCCCCATTCATTTGTCAATGGACTGACCCTACCTTCATCCCCCACACATGTGACCATGCCTGGCCAGCCAGAGGACTCCAATCCTAGCCTTGATTTGGGTTTGACCACAGGACCCATCCCCAAGCCAGACCAGGGTCCTGCTGGGGTTTTTCTTCTCTTCCAGGAGTTCATGATGCCACCCCTGTGGGCTTGCCAGATGGTGGAAGATAAGTCTTGCCCCCCTCCACCCTATAAAAAGGGAGAGAAAGGGCCTGGTGGGTTATTAGAACCCTGGACCCAGCCACACAGAGGACTATGGGACCCCTGTGATGGGCTTCCAGTTACAAGAGCCAACAGGCCCTTTTCAGTTCAACCAGGTCTAATTTGGGGTCTGCTGGTTACTCCTCCTGAGTCTGGCAGGGCCAGACACTGATGAGCAGAGAGGCCCTTGGCTGGGGACCGCCTGCCTTCCACTATCATTCCATATGTACAATGACGTGGGGAGTATCAGAGTCCATTCAACTGAAGAGTAAAAACCTTCGCTGCACACTGTTCGTGTAGGACCGTGGGGCATTTAACTATCAGCATGAGAAGATTCTGACCACGCCCAGCACTGGGCAATGTCCCCATGCTTCCATCCACCCCTCCTCGGGCCCTGCACAGACCTAGGGCCTCATCTGACCAGCAGAGCGGACGTGCTCGGTCCTGTTCTTTCAATACAGTTAACGTGTTCAAGGCAACTGCTGGAGAGTGGCGCACCCTCTGCCTCCTGGCCTCTGGCTCACAAGCCTCCGTGGCTGTACGAGCATCTGCTTGGTGGACCCAGAGATCCCTGCCAGGCCCCTGCTGTGCTCTCCCTTCACAGGGAGAACCTGGCATTGGGAGGACAGGTTGATGTACCCAAACCTCCCACCACTGTGAGAGGGCAGTCTGACCCCTGCACACCACAATGTCAGTTAAAAGAGAAATCAGCTAAGAACTAAGAAACAAAAAAAGGAGACATATGTAATACTCTTTGTAATACTTTAAGCATTAAAACAAAATAAAAAATATATATTAAAAAAAAGAACTAAGAAACAAATTTGAACAGGAGTCAGTGCTCGAGTCACGAATGTCATGGTGACCCCCGCTCAAGGGCAGAAACTCAGCATGGGCTCAGGTCCCTGCCTGCCTGCCACTGTCCTGGTCACAGGAGGTCTGGAGGCTCCTCCAAGCTTGGGGCATGTTCCAGGCATCTCTTGGATAGGAACAATGTTAGCCTGGCATCCCTTCTGTTGCTGGACCATGAGTTCACATCACACCCCTCTCAGAAGAAGAGAGACGGGCCCTGGTGGCTGAGCCCTGGGCCAGGAGGGAAGGAAGCATTGGAAGCCAGTTACCTCACCCGTAGGCCACGAGAATTCTCCATACCCCAGCTTCATGTCCAGCCCGAAATGCCCTCGGTAGACGCAGCCATCCTGCCACTCCTGCACACCTTGGACCAGCTGGATGTAGGTCTCCTTCAGGTCCTGCTCCCTAAGGGGGGCCTGGGGCTCCTCCTCCTCCTCCTCCGGGGCCTCTGGAATGTTCCTGGTGGCATGAAGGGCAGCAAGAGGGAAGAACCGAACTGGCCAGAGGTCTTCAGAGTGACTGTGTGCCGAGAACCGCACTCTACCACACCGCACCTCCCAACAACCCCAAGGCAAAGGCTGTTGGTATCCTCATTCTCCATAAAGGGAAACTGAGGCAGAGAGGGTACAGTGATTGCCCAGGAAGTGCAAAGTACTCTAAGGCTGTCTAACAAGGGTAATGGCGTGCAGCATCCACCCAGAGCTGGGCAGACACTGGTGGACCAATGGAACAGGCTAAGCAAGGAGAGGGAGCTTCGGGTCAAGGGATGATCCAAGAACAACTCGAGAGGCAGCAATGGACCCCTCAGAGGAAGGGCAGATGCAGGGGTGTGTGGACGCTTAGCAGAAGCAGAGAATGTGTGCCAGGGTGGGCTTGCCTCTTTCCTGTTCTTGCTAACTAAAAGTACAATCCTGATTCAAAGGTGGACCCAGCCTCACCCAGCACACACACACCCCCTCTCTGCCTCCCTCCCCCCTCTAAAGGCCTGTCTTGGGGATGCTACATCCGGGTATCTGTCTAGACCCATGCTGTTGTCAGGCTGCACACAGTGTAGGAACACTCAGACTCTGAGCCCCGTCCACCAGATGGCCCTCAAATGCCAGCCATGAGCCACAGAGGCCTAAAGCCTACCCAACAAGGAGGGACTGGGCTGCTACAAATACAGGATTTCTATTCCATGTTGTTATACGCCTGTAGGAAGAAGCCAAGAAGGATAGACACCAACATGCAACAATGATGAAGTCTGGGGCTCAGATATGCTTTCCTGTTGTTCTTTTGCTTACCTGTGTTTATGGGTTGAATTGCGCCCCCAGCCCCTAAAATGTGTTGGAGTCCTACCCCTTGTGACTTTATTTGGACCCTAATCAAATGTGACCATTGTCCTTATAAAAGAAAGAAGTTGGGACACAGAGGATTGCAGAGAGGTGACGTGTAGTCAGAGAAAACACAGCCATCTGCATGCCTCAGGGAGAGGCCTGCCACAGACTCTTCCCACACCCTAAAAGAAAACCACCCTGCCCACACCTCTTGGACTTCACACCTGAGAACAATAAATTGTTGCTTAAGCCACCTGCCTGTGGTTCTTTGTTAGAGCCCTGGCAAATTAGCATACCAGTATTTTCTCATTTTCTACATGGCACAGATACTACTTGTTAATTAAAAAAATTAATGAGGAGGAAAGATAACTGACAGTAAAAATAAGAAAAATACAAATTTTCAAAAATTTCCCTAAAATAATAAATAAAAATGATTTTGAGGTTAAATAAGAAAATCATACTGCAGCCAATCAGCTGTAAGACCCACTTCAGGGTCACTGGAAATGATCAGCTGGCAAGGTGGACACGAGTTTGACCACTTGGCTCTGTCACCAGATAGTTCCTTACTTCCTCATGTCAGTCTGCTCAGAGGCTGTGACAAACCCACAGATGGGCAGCTTACACAGCAGGCATTTATTACTCCCAGTTCTGGAAGCTGGAGATCCAAGGTCAGGGTGTCTGAAGACTCGGTTCTCTGTGCCTTCAATGCTGGAGAGTGGGAGCTGTTAGTCTCTTCTTCTTGTGAGGACAGTAATGCCATCATGGGGCCCCACCCTCAGGATCTCACCTAATCCTAATTACCACACATATCTCCCAAAAGTCCCCTTTCCTAATATTATCACATTGTGGTTAGAGCTTTGACATAGGAATTTCAGGGGTGGGGGACACAATTCAGTCCATAAAAGGGACAAACACAGTGGGGTCAGAGGGTGGATTTCTCCTCGCTCTGAGAGAAGCACCTGGCCTACCAAGTGTCAGCTCTCACATCAACACCCTGTGAAGATGCTATGCCAACCTGGTACTGGGACCCCCATGGTGTAAAGCAAATGCCCTAAGACTGTGAGGTGACAGGCAAGCCCAGCGTGGGCAGGCTAGACGGAAGGTGCAAAGATCGGGCTCTGGGGCCCAGTCGCCCATTATGGTGGTTTTCCTCAGTGGCTGTTGATACAACATTGGGGTTTTGCTATTTCTCCAGAGACTAGATTTTTGAGGGATAATATAACTTTTAGCGATTTCTTAACACCTGCCCCAAAGCTGGATCCCAGCTAAGTGTGGTCCTCAGCGTGGGCCGCAGACCTCCCTACCTTTTGGTGAAGAGGATGGAGCTCTCCAAGGTCCCTGAATCCTCATTGAGAGTAGGCTCGCTGCCTCTCCTCTCCAGCTGGTCTGAGGAATAACCACCTTCCATGTCTCTCGTCTATGAACCTGGAAGCAAAGCCGGAGACCCACAGTAGCTCTCAGGGCTCCTGGTAAGTGCCCACCGACCGCCCACCGCCCACTGGCCTCAGAGGAACCGCCCCTTCCCCAAACCGGACCTGGTTCAAGGCCACCGCGCCACCCATCCTGTTAGAACCTCCAGGAAATCCTCGCCAGAGCTCCGAGCGTCTCCTGTCCCTTCCGTGGGGTGAAAACCACAGGAAGGGCCGGTGGGGCCACCCTCCAACGGCCACAAGTGTCGAGGTCCGTCGGCGCCAGCTGAGTGCCCTCCATTTCCCCGGGGTCCTCAGGAGCCAGCTGCGAGGGCGGCGGACCCGGCGCAGGTGCATGGCCCCCACCCAACCCCTAACTCACAGCCTAACACGCAAGTCGGGTCTCAAATTTCCTCTCTGCTCCTCCTCAGGAGCGTGGGACCACGCGCAGCCCCCCGCCGCCGCCTCAGTGGAGCTCGGAGACACCCCCCGCCCCAACACACACACACACACACACACACACACACACACACACACACACGGCTCACCGCAATTCGCTGCTGCCCCGCCGGGATCCGGACCGCGCCCCTGCCACGGGGTCGCACCAGGCTCGGTGAGCTCACAGCGACCACAACAGGTCAGCCAGCAGCGCAGACCCGCTGGCCAGTCACCACTGGGCTCAGTGCTGGAGCCCGACAGCGTCGGGTTTCCCTGGAGACGACCTCACTCCCCGCCCACGTGCCCGCTACAGCTCTTGGCCTGGCCAATCCCGCGCCCGCCTCTCCCGGACACGCCCCCGGGCGTTAAGGGTGGGTGCAAGGTGTGACCCTCTGTGACTTCACAGGAATCCCTGGCCGGGTGTACCTGCCCTCTAACCCCGCCCGGTGGGCACACACCCTCCCCTCGTGCCCCCGCACCTCCGCCAGCCCTCCTGGCCTTCTGTCTGAGTCCCCCGCAGGAAGCCGGCAGTCGGTCTCCACCCTTCACTGACCCCTATGTCCAACAGAGGACGCTGGGTCAGCCTCTGGCCTCGGGCATACCCGGGGAGAGGGAGCGAAATGCTCCCAACGCCCCGCGAAGAGGGCCCCGAGGAAACGGCCGCACAGCTGAGGGATAAATTAACTTGTCTACCATCGCCGGATCGGATCGAGCTCTGCCTGGCTCTGAAGCCGGCTTCCTTCCTCAGTCAATGTTTGTGGGGGGCACAGAGGGGGAGCTCAAGGTCTGGTGAGGAAACTAGATGAGGTAAAGGCCTGGGCTCACTGGGAGAGGATTAGCTGTTGGGACTGACAAGTTAGAAGTCTCCAGAACACCTCTTTTTGGGCCACATTTTAGGATTTAGAATTGTTTGGCCAATCTCACCAAACTGTCAGATTTTTCACAAATAGGTGTGTGTGTACAAATAGTAGTTTTAAACTACTGTCTAGTTCAGTGGTTCTCAACCTTCCTAATGCCGCGACCCTTTAATACAGTTCCTCATGTTGTGGTGACCCCCAACCATAAAATTATTTTCATTGCTACTTCATAACTGTAATTTTACTACTGTTATGAGTCATAATGTAAATATCTGATATGCAGGATGTATTTTCATTGTTACAAATTGAACATAATTGCCGAAACCGGTTTGGCTCAGTGGATAGAGCGTCGGCCTGCGGACTGAAAGGTCCCGGGTTCGATTCCGGTCAAGGGCATGTATCTGGGTTGCGGGCACATCCCCAGTGGGAGATGTGCAGGAGGCAGCTGATCGATGTTTCTCTCCCATCGATGTTTCTAACTATCTATCTCTCTCCCTTCCTCTCTGTAAAAAAATCAATAAAATATATTTAAAAAAAAAAAAACAAATTGAACATAATTAAAGCATAGTGATTAAAAACAAAAACAATATGTAATTACATATGTTTTCCGATGGTCTTAGGCGACCCCCAAAGGAGTCTCGACCCACAGGTTGAGAACCGCTGGCCTAGTCTTTTGTATTGGGCAGTATATTAGTTTCCTAAAGCTGCTGTAACAAAGCATTACAAACTGGGTGGCTTAAACCAACATAAGTTTTTCTTTCATCAGTGTTTGTGTCTCCAAGTCTTCCTCTCCTATAAGGACACTAGTCATTTGGTTTAATCCGGTATGACATCATTACATCTGCAAAGACCCTATTTCCAAATAAGGTCATTAACAGGTACCAGGGGTTTAGGATCCACCATTCAACCCTCAACAGGTGATAGGATTTACCAGGTTTGTAGGATCTTTTGAAGTTTTAGTTGAATTTCTCTTTACATAAACACATTTACAGACAGCTCGTTGTGCCTCTGCTCGGCTTCCCAAACTGCTGTTGAAGGGAGCAGGAAGGAGGGCTCTCCCCAGGAAGCTGGTGTCAGGTCCAGAAGAGGGTGGTCCAAACTAAACACAGCCATCAAGGTGAAGAGAATAGACTGGAGACAGAGACTTGTTACCCACTCATTAGCTCAATGGGATGGAGGAGTGTGACGTATCACGTAGGAGGCCTTGGAACAGAAAACCCACCTCATCCTCCAACAATAAAGGGTGATTTGCTGGCTCAGGAAACCGAACAGCCCCAAGAGGAAGGTCTCAGGTTTGGTTTGGTTCAGTGGCCCAACAATGTTATGAAGGATCTGGTTTCTCCCAACGTGGCGTTCACCCAGGGCTGCCTTCCCCTTGTGGTGTTAAGGATAAAATGGAGATCTCCATGCTCCTCTCCTCCTCGGTTCATGAGAGCCCAAGCCCTTTGATGAAGCAATGATGGGATAACAGCTTTACTGATTGGCTAGAGGTAACCAGGACCCACTTCTGGAACTGGGGGACAGAAAATCTATTTGGTTGGCTCCCATGAACTTGGGAAAATGGGAATTTCATTGCCTCTCCAACCCAAGAAAGCCCATCTGTCCTTAGGGCAGAAGAAGAAAATGGATTCTGGGAGGGCTTTTGTGGGAGATGTCCGGACCTGCAGCCAATGAAGACCTGGCTGCAAAGTGGTATCTGAGTCTTTAGCTCAGAAAGGAGCTGGCCCAGGTTGTAACAAAGATCTGACGGTTACCAGTGCTTGGAGGCTGCAGCTGAACCGAGAGAATCAAGACCACCCAGAGATTATACATAGGTTCATTCTGTCAGATTCATCCAGTACTAGGTATGGGGTAGGGGGTGGGAGGGGGTCGGTACTGGAGAATAATCTCTGGTAGAATGGATTGCAAATCTTAGGCAAACAATGGAGATGAATCAGAAAATTTTACTATCATTAGAATAAAATTGAAATTGCAATTAAATAAATATATGCAAGACTGCAGTCAGTTATTTTTCACTGAAACCATTCCCTGAAAGGAACCGGTCATCAGAAAAATCTATTGAAGAGGTGGTATTCTTTTTCTTTTTTTAAATATATTTCTATTGATTTCAGAGAAGGGAGAGGGAGAGAGAGAAACAGCAATGATGAGAAAAATCAGTGATGGGCCACTTCCTACACTCCCCACACCTGGGGATCAAGCCTGCAACCTGGGCATATGCTCTGACTGGAAATCCAACTGTGATGACTTCCTGGTTCATAGGTCGACACTCAACCACCGAGCCACGCTTGCTGGGCTTGAAGAGGTATTCTTTTTTTTTTTTTAATTATTTTTATTGATTTCAGAGAGGAAGGGAGAGGGAGAGAGAGATAGAAACATCAATGATGAGAGAGTATCATTGATTGGTTGCCTCCTGCATGCCGCCCACTGGAGATCAAGCCCACAACCCAGGAATGTGCCCTTGACTGGAATCGAACCTGGGACCCTTCAGTCCGAAGGCCGACGCTCTATCCACTGAGCCAAACCAGCTAGGGCTGAAGAGGTATTCTTAATGAATCTTACTGAAGAGGCAACTGTGTGGATATTAAATGATACTAACTTTTTGAAGTTAACAAGGATGTCTCAAAAGTTAATAACTTAGAAAAATAACAAAAATACCGTTTATTAAAAAAAATGAAAAGTTAATGGTAAATAGCTTTATATAAACTATGTTTTACAATAAAAGGGAAATACCCCTAACCAGTTTGGCTCAGTGGATAGAGCGTTGGCCTGCAGACTGAAGGGCCCCGGGTTCGATTCTGGTCAAGGGCACATGCCCAGGTTGTGGGCTCCATCCCCAGTGGGGGCCATGCAGGAGGCAGCTGATCAATGATTCACTCGTCATTGATGTTCCTATCTCTCTCTTCCTTTCTGAAATCAATAAAAATATATCTTAAAAAATAAATAAAGGGAAATAAAATGCAGAAATTAGAAAGGGCAACTTATCAGGAAGCAGATAACAGAAGGAATAAGCATAAAGCTATACTAAAGGGCACCTCAGCCCGCAATACAGTTATAGGAAGTAGTTATTAAGAATACATGATAAAAAGAAAAATACACGAACCCAGGTGATTTACCAAGACAACGAGATTCAGAATACTGGTCAGGTGCGGATGAGGATCTGTGACAGGGCCCCCCTGCTCCTCTGCACAACAGCCACAGCTTGAGACGCCCCCTCCCCGAGCCCCGCGGTAGCCCGCCTGGCCCGCCGCCAGGTCAGACCCGGGTGCAGCGGAACCTCTCGGGTCCGCAGGGACCTTCAGCCAATTCTAGAACCGCGCCTCTCCTGTCTGCTGGTAAGCTCCGCCCACACGTAGCACCCGTAGCCAATCAGAGGAGGCGCTCCGCAGGGCCTAACTAATGAGGAGGTGGCCAGGGGCTTGTGGGCGGGACCCGCTCGTGCACAGCCGAGATGCTGACCGATCCGGGCGGCCCTCGGGTACCTTTAGGACCCGGGCCAGCCTCCAGACTTCCCAAAATAGACCCCCGGGCCAGATGCCTGAGCGCGTCATGGACTCCGGAGGAGCCGAACGCCTCGGCGGCGCCCCGGCCACACAGCCGCCATTGGCGCACGTCGCCCCCTCGCTCTTTCTCGGGAACGCGCGCACTGCAGCCGCGTCGGAGCTGCTGGCGTGCGCGGGCGTCACCCTGTGCGTTAACGTCTCGCGCCAGCAGCCCGGGCCGCGCGCGCCCGGCGTGGCCGAGCTGCGCGTGCCCGTGTTCGACGACCCAGCCGAGGACCTGCTGGCCCACCTGGAGCCCACCTGCGCCGCCATGGAGGCCGCAGTGCGCGCCGGCGGCGCCTGCCTCGTCTACTGCAAGAATGGCCGCAGCCGCTCGGCCGCCGTCTGCACCGCGTACCTCATGCGGCACCGTGGCCTGAGCCTGGCGCAGGCCTTCCAGGTAGGGCGGTCCTTCAGGTGGGGTAGGGCGGAGCCGGGGGTGGGAGCCTTCTCAGGGGGCGGGGCTCCTGGCAGGGGCGGGGCACCCCCCCACCCCCACCCGTGGTGGGTGGTTGAGGACTTTATAGCGAGTGCTGGGCGGAGTTTCACCTAATCCCCTCCTTTGCAGACCGTGAAGAGCGCCCGCCCCGTGGCCGAGCCCAACCCTGGCTTCTGGTCCCAGCTCCAGAAGTACGAGGAGGGCCTGCAGTCCAGGTCCCGCCTGACCCCGGAGCCCTCCACACAGTGAGCCCTGATTGGTCAGTCCAACCCCCAAGCCAGACTGGGAGTTTCCTGGGATGGTGTAATCCAAGCATGTCAAACTCAGGGCCGCAGACCGCATGCAGCCCACAACTAATATTTTTGCGGCCCAGCCAATGTAAGGGTATGTAAGAAATGTTTTAATAAAAATTTTGTAACTTAATTTTTACAACATCCTGTTCTACATAATCCTATATAATAAAAGGCTAATAAGGAATGACCAGTCGCTATGATGTGCACTGACCACCAGGGGGCAGACGCTCAATGCAGGAGCTGCTCCCTGGTGGTCAGTGCACTCCCACAGGGTTTCTGCTCAGCCAGAAACCCTGCTCACGGCTCAGCGCAGTGGCGGTGATGGGGGCCTCTCCTGCCTCCGCAGAAGTGCTAAGGATGTCTGACTGCCCGCTTAGGCCCGGTCCCCTTGGGACATCAGTCGGACATCCCCTGAGGGCTCCTGGACTTCTAGAGGGTGCAGGCCGGGCTGAGAGATTCCCCCCGCCCCCCAATGCATGAATTTCATGCACCGGGCCTCTATTATTAATAACGAACTACAGCATTCGCTAATGATATTTTATAATTGTGCTGCATTCATTTCCCTTATACACCTTACGCTCAGGCGCACCATTTCTCTCCACTAATACCAGCAGGGACTATTTTAGTAGCCGATTGCCACGTCATTAGTCTTGGACTGACTTGTTTGGTGTGCGCAACAGGAAATATTTGGCTTTCAGAGAATAAGAAAAATAGGCTTATTTGCATTACGCTTATTAATTTGTGCAGTTATTCAGTATCTGGTAAGTTAATGTTCAAGAAAAATATTAATTTTTATTAAAATGTTCTATTTATGTTAATGATTACTCATTTATTTCAGCCCTTTGTATTCAGCATGTCTCTATTGAAATAAACCTAGGTTTCTATGAAAATTGAAGCTTTTGTTTTTTTGCAGTCCACATAAACTTAAACCTTGTTTATGTGGCCCATGTTAGCCTTTGAGTTTGACATGCTTGGTATAATCCATTCACAATCCCAGTTTATTAGACTGGGCTTCGTCAGGAAGATCAAAACTACTTGAACTTTAGGCAGAAAGACATTATAGGGAAATCAAGGCCGGGAGCCAAGGTCAGGAGATGGGGAAGTTCAGGGGTCACAGAGACCTGCCACCCTGATGTTGGCTGCTGGCCACTGTGACTTGGACAACTATGGAGGACACCTGGGGTTGCTGGCAAACTCATGTCTGCAACGTGCTTAAACCATAGTGGCTTTTCCCCAGGCTCACACTGGTCCTGTGTCTTATCTCAGAACCCAGCACTGGATTGGGCCAGCGAGGCCCCATGGTTTCCAGACTTGTAGTTGCCATGACATGCAGGTGAGGGTGCAAGGCTGTGACAAACCACCTAGCACACCCACCTCTTACCATACCTCCCAGTTCCAGCACCAGCACTGAGCCCTAGTCTGACCTCCTGCAGCCACCTTCACACCAACAATGCACTGGCCGCATGCACATCTGAGTCTGTGCATTCCTCTTCTGGTTAACATGCACCTCATATGGACAACCTGTGGCCTAAAGATATTAGGAAATTTATCACCAGCAATACTTCTTAAATAAGGTAGTGGGGGAAAGAAAAGGAAAAATTGGGTAATACATGTTGTCAAGTGATAATCGGTGCCAATTCAATGCCAACAGGAAGCCCCAATATGGGGTGTGGTGCAGAAAGAAACTATTCAAAACAGCTCAATTGCAACACAGCATAGTTGTTTTAAAACAGCAGGGCAGTTGGCAGCCCTGGCACCAGGCCCTTCTCTAGCTAGACAACTGTGCTCTGCTTGGCTCTGCTCCACTTCACTCCTCTCCTCAATGTTCTGCTCTGCTCTGCTCCATGCTGGTTTGCTTTGCACTGTGCTGGGCTGCTCTGCTCTGCTCCAGAAGACACCTTCATTGTTTCAGCTCAGCCAGGAAAACAGTCTTCAGACATAGGTGGAAAGGGAAAGTGTACTCAGAGCCAAAGGACAGCTGGCTTATATGGACAGAAGGCCATGCCCCTGGTCCCTGAGTAGTCTGTCCTCATACAATGAGGACCCCAAATTCTCACAATTTGATTGGTCCAAAGGACACTTCCCTAATTGCTCACAATGGAGCTGCTCTGATTGGTTGGTGAAGATGTTGATGGGATATAGCTGGACAACTGATTGAATTGGGAAAGCCTCGGTCCTATTGGTTGAAATAGGATTCTAGGAATCTATAATAATAAAAGCATAATATGTAAATCGACCGAATAGGGGAATGACCATCCGGATGTCCTTCTGAACGACCTTCCGGGCAAAGCCGGGGCTGCAAGGGCCTACTCTTGCACGAATTTCGTGCATAGGGCCTCTAGTTCCTCTGTAAGGGCTGGCTCAGATGACAGAAACACAGTGGAGGCAGGCAGTTCAGTGCAGGCCTCTCCCTGAAGTGCAGTTTGCATGAGAGGCCTCTGTGTAGAAATGACTGCTAGGCTCTTTTTCTTAAAATCTGAGCCCAGTTTGTCACCAGGAGCCCTTCTTAGTAGATGTCTTCTTTCTCGGGTTTATAATGTGAATTTCAGATACTGTAGTTCCTGGTTAATATGTAGAAATATATACATAACAAGGTAATGAGTAAAATAACTGTAGTTGGTGTAATTTCCCTTTCCCATTACTCATTTTGTATCCCCTCCACCTTCAGCTAACTCCTCGCTGGTGGTGATCTTTCCTAGTAGGATGACAAGGCTTCATCCTTCAGGGGCCCCACATGGCCCTGCATGCATTTTCGTGCTATGGCCTCTGTTTCCTTTCCCACACAATCTGGGAAGGATCAGGAGAGTATCCTGAGTTCCATCATGCCCCTCGGATCCCCACTGAGCAGCAGCAAAACCCCGCTGCCCCTGAAAGTCATGATCAGTCACTCCACCCAGCAGAGCAACCCTGATTTGCCTGATGCCTCTGGTGTGAGGCAAACATCCAGGGGAACAGGGTCTGTCCTTGGTGTAAGCATCCTGCCTGGAAATGAAGGCCTCTGATCCAGCAGAGACCAAAGTTGAGGGAACAGGAAGCTGACACTTTGTAAGTGAGGCATGAGTAGTTGTGAAAGGGACCTCTCTCTCCCCAGCCCTTTAGCTCCTGAACTTGTGACAGGAACAATGCCATCCATTGGTCCCTGACTCAGATCATACACCACCACACCCAGCCCCTCTAGTAGCCCCCATCGCTGAGAGCCACAGCCCCCGTCATAACCTGACTCCTACAACCTTAATAGAAGACTTGCCAGCTCTCATTTACTCCCCCCAAACTCCTCATAGCTCATCACCATTTCATCAACCCCATGGGGTCTACTGCCATCTTCTCCATTTGGCAAGTGCTCTAGTGGCTCCATCTGCAACTTTGGGAGTTGAGCAACTGTCCAGCTTGAAGGTCAGGAGCAAAAACCTGAGACAGGTTGTTACTCTGTGTGATGCAGCCGAACTGCCCATGGCCACTTTTGATAGTATATCCCCCTAACCTGATGCCCTGGCTCTGGGTGACAAGGGTGCAATGGTGACAGAGTCCAGGCCTGGTTGTAGGACATCTTGGGTCACATCAGCTTTTTATCCCATCAGCTCTGTTCTGAGAATCATCCAGTGTAGCTCCCAATTATCCCTAAGACCTCTGTCCAAGGGACAACACAGCCCCTCCTGAATGCCACTTCTCCTGAAAGCCCTTGCCTCCACATCTACCTCCTAGCAGGGGAGGCCAGGGACCCACGCTCCTCCCTGGACCCTGCCACTTGAATGGGAGTGCATGAATCACATGCATTAAGGGAGGGCTGGGGTGATTTGATCGTCAAAAGGCTGGAGTATGAAAATTCCTGTGAGAAAAGCCCCAGCCTCTGGCATTCCAGACTTCCACGTTCCTCTCCCCTGGCTAGGTCAGGAAGGGTGCGGGAACTGCAGCCACCCAGACCTTTATCAGCAGGACAGGGACAGGGTAGAGACAACTTCTGTGAGCTTCACAATTCATAAGGTGCCTTGATAGCCAGGCACTAATACTTAAAAATAGGTCTATTTGCTCCAAGACTGGTTTGTGTGGCCCCCTTATATAAATGCAGGGTGAAAGGGACCCCACCCCAGGGGCAGAGGAGGTAACAGCCCCTCTGGACCAGCAAGACTGCCACCACTCCACCTGTCCTATGTGCAGAACTGGCCACTAGGAGATGCCCAGGGCCCTCCAGGAGAGAAGGATAAGACCCAGCCCCCACCCCTAACTCCAGGGAACCAGGGGGGCAAGAAGTTCCTGATGTTCACTTACCCTAAAGGCTCAGGTGACTAGGGATCAACCCCAGTCCTCTCCCTATTGAGTCTTTGGCTCAGGACCCACCCCTTCTCCAGGTGACTGCAGGAACACTGGGCTTCTAGTGAGTTTGTGGTGGGTGGCCCCAAGAGAGAGGCTGGGACCCCAAGATAAGATGGCACATGACTCAATGCATGTGCTCTGTATCAGTGAACACACATCTTCCCTTTCAGCCGTGGTTCCCACCCCTGGGGGAGGAGGGCAGGCAGGATGGCATGGTTACCAGTGGTGACACTGAGTCCAGAAGGATTCAACACTACTCAGAGATGACACTGAAGCCAAGTACAGTGTCTCAGTCCAGCCTCACACCTTACCACATGGCAACTGAGCAGGAGAAAGAGGTGTGCAGGGTTCCTGGGTGTTCTCCAGGCCAAAAAGCCCCATCCCTCCCCACCCCCCCACACCCCCAAGGCCCAGAGTTCTTATGCGATGCTGACAGCAACATCTTGGTGGTCCCTCTCATCCCATGGCTTCGAGGTACATGTGACACCCTCTCATCGGGCATCCTTCCTAATCTGCAGCTGTCCCCTCTGGGCCCAGGCCTGTGCCCAGGACTGGGCAGGTAGGGTGGGAGCAGGCAGGCCAGGTCTGGTTACTGCCCCAGCACTCACCCTAGGGTTAGGGTTAGGGTTAGGGTTAGGGTTTTAGGATTAGAGTTAGGGTTAGGGTTTTAGGGTTAGGGTTAGGATTAGGGTTAGGGTTTTAGGGTTAGGGTTAGGGTTTTAGGGTTAGGGTTAGGGTTTTAGGGTTCGGGTTAGGGGGTTAGGGTTAGGGTTAGGGTTTTAGGGTTAGGGTTAGAGTTTTAGG